CACATAGTCAGGGCAGCTTGGATGCCCAACCTCCTCCATGGGAACAGAGTCACTGACCACATGTCATAGAGGGCACTGATGTTCCAAGAGGTCTTGATGTGAGCTGACTTGTCATAGGGCTGAGATGTGGCCAGCTGTGAGTTGCAAGAGTAACAGAACCATGCTTGTGTCACTTCATGTGATGTGCAGCTAAAGCCAGAACACTGGCATGAGTTGCAGTGAGGGAAATTAAACTTTAATTACAAGGCCAAGTAACAGAGTCGTGGTGGCTACAGCTCAGAAACATCCTGATCTCCCAGAACACGTACAGGCAGGGAGTTTTAAAGAAAGTGTTGGGGGTCACAGAAAGGGCTGCATGATTCACCAGTTGACAGTTCTGAGTGGCTGCATCTCTGAGCACAAGGAAGCAGATCTCCATGAACATAGAAACAACTTTTGGTTTCCTCTATGATTTACCAGGCACCTATCAATCTCTGTTCTTGAAAGTTCACCTCCTCAGCACATTCCAAGGGCTAGGAAAGCTCTGTACTTTCTCCTGTAAAGACATCTCGAGAATGTGTGTCAAGATAATATCTCCTGTCCCTGGAGCTCAGTGACTGTTTTATGGTTCTCCTCATCACTTTGGTAACATCCCGTCCTGCTCGGCTGTCTTCGTTCTACCTCCTTACTCAATTGCTAGTTGTAAATCCTAACTCCTTAATTAGATACTCTGTTCCCAGATCCTAAGTCACATCAGCTTAAGGGATCAAGGCCACAGCTCACTTTCATTAAACTTTTGGGAGGGCTTCACCCAAATGGGGTGTCCACTCAGTTTTAGAACCCAGGATAACTTGACCACAAAGCTGTGTTCAATAATTGTTCGACAATGACTAAAATGAAAATGGTAATAATTACAACAGTGATGATTTTAACAATGGCAACGACTGTGTTGGTGATAATAACAGGAATAAAAGTAAACCCAAGGAGGTGGCAGAGGAGTACAGACCTCCCCGAGTGAATGAGCAGGTGCTCATGTTGGGACCAGGTGTGCTCTGGGGCCAGAGCAGAAAGAATGCAGCGTGAACTGGTTCTGTGAAGGTGAAGGACAGAAGGTAGGTGGGAAAGAATGCAGGAGGGCAGCGGCCAACAGGAGACTCATGTGTGGAAAACACCAGGTGAGCCTTGGGAAAAGAGGAAACCGATGCCACTCCCAGAGCCCAAAACCACCCGGGTAGAGTGAGGGTTATGGTTGGTGCTCATGTTGAGGTTCAGGTTCAGGCTGAATTAGGGAGAGAGGTTGGAGGTAGGATTAGGGGGTGGGGTTAGGATTAGAAGTTATGGTTGGTTTTAGGGAGTTAGGGGTTATGTAGGTTGGGATTAGAGATTAATGTTACAATTGTGGTAGGGTTAAGTGCTAGGGCTGGTGTTAGTGATTAAAGATAGGCTTGCTGTTGGGGTTAGATTTAGAGAGTAAAGTTAAGGCTTATTATTAGAGTTCGAGGTCTAGTGCTAGGGTTAGGTTTCAGTTATGGGAAAGAATTGGGCTTAAGGGTGAGAGTTGGGATTGGAGTTAAGTGGTAGGGTTTAGGGATAGGTAATGTGTACCACATGTTAGGAGTTAAGGATTATGGTGATAGGTTGTGTTTATGGTTTTGGGCTTAGGCTCAGTGGATTAAGTTGAGGATTGTGGTGTGTTAGGGAAAGGGTTAGGGGTTAAATATTAGTTGTTAGAGGATGTGATTAAGAATTAATATAAGGGGCTGCCTAGTTAGCTTAGTTGGTTACAGCATTTTGCTGAAAACACCACGGTCCAGGGTTTGATCCTTGTACTGGCCAGCTGACAAGAAAAAAAAAAAAAAAGACAAGAAAAAAAAAAAAAAAAGAATTAGATGCAAGGCCAATTGGAAGTTGGTATCATCCCAACCTCCAAAGAAAGTCGCCAAAATGAAAAATTTATGGAAGGAAAGAAAGCTCTTTAGGACAGAATTGGTGACTATACAGGTGTGGGCAGTGAGGATAAAGGAGATGTTGGAGACAAAATCTTGACATCTGTCTCCACTGAGTGATTAGATGCTGGTCCTGCTGGCTGAAGAATGGGATAATGACAAGGTAAGATTCAGGTAAAGAACCGGAGGGCCAGTTTAGTCACACTGAGGTCCAGGTGTCCTCAGAGCACAGATTCCCATTCTAGAAAGAGCCAGTTAGACAGGCTCTGTTCTTGGACCCAAGGGCATGTTTAATTCATGGTGAGAGGCACTCAGGACTTCTGCACACCGCCATGCCTGATATAATCACTATCCAAGGAAGTCCAGAGCACATCCACACCTTATATGGAAACCCCACTGCCCAACTGGCCACCATTGTCCTGCATGTCCAGGACACAAGTCTTCTGGGACACCAGAACCTTCCAAGTGTAGAAGGGCCTGGAGGATGAAGTGACCAGTGAGGAGTTGCATAAGCAGGCAAGGAGAGATGCTTAGGGGGAAGCCCCTATTTATGTAAACCAAGATGGTCCTTTTCAGGGCACAGGGGATGACTCTGAGTCAAGGGCACTTGGTTGCAGGGGAGCCAGAGAGAGTAGGTTCTGAAGGGTAGGACCACCAATCCTCCCAGGAGGCAGTCCTTCCCGATGGAACCCTCCACCTCCATCCAAGATCTTGTTAGACCAGGATATCAGGAAATTCTCAGAACACAGTTTGTACAGAAAAAAGAGGAGACATTTGTTTAGTGAGAAACTCAGCAGCAACCACTAGATGGGAGGTAGGAAGTGAGGTGATCTGGGTATACAAGACTTCTGCTTGAGAGAGGAATGCTACCTCCAGGAAAGGGGTAACAAGAAAAGTGTGTGTCTAAGTCCAGGATATGACCTGCCTGGCCTGAGGTGCCTGGCAGGTATCTGAGTGGATGGGTATAGCTATAGTCTATCTAAATATTAGTAATGACACAGACGCCACCCTGACTACTGTATGGGCTAATTTCTGACCTCTGCCCCACCTCACAAAAAAGTTATTTTGCAATCTTAAACCAAGGAACTTCAAAAGGTGACTATATTTTGAGATACGGTCTTTAATGAGGTGGTTAGGTTAAAATGAGTATGGGCCCTAAAACAATCTTACTATTGTCCTTACAACAAGAGGGGATTAGGACATATGTAGACACACCAGGGGTGACTGTGCACAGAGGATGGCCATGTATGAGGAAGAGAGAAGGCAAACATCTGCCAGCCAAGGAGAGAGCCTTAGACAAAACCAATCCTGC